ATGACAAGTGGTGCCTTGCCTTGAAAGCCTGAACTCACCCGACACTGAGGACAAGGCAGGGAAATTCGAGGAGTGCTTGTCCCTAATGGGGAGTGGGTGCCTTGTCTTGAACCTGCCTAACACTAAGGACAGGGCGGGGATGGGATAAAGTGTAGGGATGGCAATTTCTCCCGTAAATCGGGGCGGGTTTACCTCGACCCTAAACAAGGACGGGGCGGGGACGGGGAAAATAACTTTTCCCCGAACTAGGTATGAGGCAGGGACAGGTTTTGTATATGATTCCCTGAACCCGCCCCGAACCCGAAGGTAAATTAGTAAAATATATCTAGGTTTAATATTGATATTTAAAATATCTCTATGTTTTCCCTAAATTTTTAAAATCCTAGGATCCCAAAATTTTATTTTTGAATTACCCCTAAAGCATTATAATTCAATTCTAAAATACCCCCAAATTCCTATATCCTATCTATAAATTGTCCATAAAATAGATAATTTTTAAGTAATTGCCTTGGAGCGGGGAAAATTCGGGGATTCCCCGTTCCCGATGGGGAATGGATGCCTCGCCCAGCCATCGGGATGGGGCGGGTACGAGGCAAGGTATCGTGACTTCGGGGCGGGGACGGGGAGGGGGTACCCAGCCCCATTGCCATTCCTAATAGAGTGTCTTGATTACGGAGTGGGGACAGGGATGGGGTGTCCCGCCGGTTTCCTTTCCTATATAATTGTTAATTAAAGTCAATCAAAAGTTCATTTAAAAATAATGAAATTAATAATAGTTACTAAAATTACTACAAATGATTAATAAAATTAAATTTATTATAAAATATTTGTCATTATTAAATTAAAAATAATTATTTTCTACAAATTAACATCAAATGAAAAATCCAATTATTAAAATTATAAATATTAACAACAACTTTGAATACTTTTAGTTAATTAACAACAATTTTTATTATTAATTTATCAATTAATTAATAGTAAATAAAATTGTTCAATCTTTCAGATTTTCCCGTGCATCGCACGGGTCCCCGCTAGTATCTATATATAGCAAGACGGTCCAATAAAAATAGAGCCATAATTTATTAAGATTTGGTGTTCCAAGCCAAACAATATTTATATCTATAGATGTAGTTTCAAGCAAATCAAGGGGAATTCGATGTTTCCTGTATATTTAAGGCATTTTCCATTATTTTTAAATAATCTATTGTTAAATAATCCATTAGCTATGAAAATTATTAAAAATATCTGGAAAATATTTTACCAAAAATTATGAAATAATTATTTCAGAAATAACCCATTATTTATAAAATATTAAATAATTTAATAATCTACCAAAAATTAATAAACAATCTATTATTTAATAATTTTTGGTTATCAATAAATGTTCAAACTTTCGACATTTAGTGTAATTTACATTAATCATTGTTATTAATAAATTTTCGATCTAGACCACTTGGTGACTTCGATCATACCTAGTTTTACATTAATTAACAAGTGGTTTACTTTTAAAAAAATGTAACTTACCATAATTACATTAATTTACTATAATTACATTTACTTTGATTAATAATAAATAATTTATGCTTAAAAAGTAAATACTATACACTAATTTATTGTTTCTGTAAATAATTAATTTACTATACATTACTACTAATTAATTGCAATTTCAATAATGTTTTGGAAATTATAATAAAATATTGTAATTTATTGTTAGTTAATTAGTTGTCGAAAATTATTAGAATTGTAGGGAGGGAAATTTTCCCTATAAAATTGGGGTCCTACGGTCCCTACCCTGCCCGCCCTAAATGAGGCAAGTTTTCTTAGACCTTAAATGGGGATGGGGCAGAGACAGGGTGGGGACAGGGAAAATATTTTTGCCCCAAATTAGGGATGTGGTTTCATATAATTCCCTGAATATGATGGTAAATTAGTAAAATATTCATAGATTTAATATCGATCTTTAAAATATTTCTAAGTTTTCCTCATATGCTTATAATCATAGGATCCCATAATTTCATTTATAAAATACCCCCAAATTGTCATAATCCAATTTCTAAAATACTCCCAAATTCACATAATCCTATTTATAAGATGGTGTTTGGAAGCGTGTGGGTTTATTGGGACCGATTTTCAAGAAAAAACGCCCATACTTCCAAGGCCCGTTTTTCACAAAAAAAAAAACACTTTAATTTTGTTTGGGAATGTTTCTGCCACGTAGGCAGTGAGCAACACTATGCTATTTGGTAAGGTGATTTTCATCACCATTTTTCGTGTATGTGGTGTGATAGGTAAGCATCACATACATAGGATACATGTAATCGCTAATCAGTCAACCGTTGGGGAAAATGGTTCACCGATGCATAAAACGCCAAATTTGACGTTTCATGCACCGGTGGGGTATCGATTTACGAGGCATGCCCGATTTTTCAATAAATGCCTGAACCAAACAATGAAATATTTGGGCATTTGTTGAAATGCCTATGTGAATCCGACAAGGCACTGTTTTTTTGAAAAACGGCCACGGTTCCAAACATCCCCTAAAATATCCATAAATTAGATTTTTTAGGTGGTTTTGGGGATTCCCCATCCTCGATAGGGAATGGATGTCTTGCCCCGAACCCGCCCCGCCACTAGGGTCGAAGCAGGGATGGAGTAGAGTGTCTTGACTTATGGGGGTGAGGGACAAGGAGGGGTGCCCCATCCCGTGCATCGCATGAGCCCCCCCTCCCCCCCTCTAGTATAATACAAACTAACACACACAAATATGCATTGGATGCCACCAACTTAAAGTGTTGGGCCTAGGCCAAAGATCACCCCTAATCCCTAGGGAATTTGGATCTGTTCCCCACAAAATATGTTGCAACATGCTTGCGGACATGATTTGACATCACACATTTCATCCATGGTGCATCCAATCTCATGATAAGATGTGTAGTGCCAGATCATGTTGGAAGCATATTAGAATGTAGTTTGTGGGGAACAGATCTCAAATTGTATCCACCCAATTACCAATTTGGAGTCCCCCTCTATCTCAATCTACTGTAGCCCCAAATGTTTGGCCAGTTTTACACTTTGATGTAGTGCCAAGATTTCTGCTCTTAAGGAATCTCCAACTCCTATTGGACCTGAAAACAGAACCATTATCTTGCCTTCATTATCTCTGAAAACACCTCCTATACTAGATGGGCCCGGATTACCTCTAGAGCTTCCATCAAAGTTTAGTTTTACCCTTTGTTGCACTGGTGGGGACCAAACTTCTTGTATCATACCCCAACTTCTATAAATGTCTTCACCTGAGAAATCCTTAAAAAGATCACAGGATTTCAACCAATGGATAACCTTAGTAGTTACTCCTTCCACAATTTCTTCCTTGGGTCTACAACTACCTTTGAAGACCACAATACAACAGCTCTAGTAGCTCTCCACATAATCCTTTTACGAACCTTTCGTTGCTTGCAAAAAGATGTATCAAAGAGGTTCACCACACTTGGGGGGGAGTCC